GTACTGATATGTAGAAGCTTTTGCGAGACAAGGATTTTTGTTAATCTCTAAGATACTACAGGACCACTCAATTTTCTTAAGTTACAGACTAACACGACTACCCCTCTGAGACTTTTAAACTATCATACTTGACACTTATAGTACATAATGCTTTTCCAATATTAACTATTTCATATACATGGAAAATGAAGCAGAGAAAGTAAGCAGCTACTTCTAATGTAACAATAGAAGAATGAATCAGGTACAGGATTAGAGTGTAGTAGCTATTGACTGCCATTCCTTTTATTATACCACTAGACCTCACCTCTGTTTTGCAAAGAGAGATTAGAAGGATCAACAGTCCTATCAGTGAGGTGATTAATAAGCTGTCTTTTCCATGCTAGCAGAAAAACACAAACCATATAAACATAAAACATGGATAACTCTAGGGTGATATTGAGGATTATTTTGCCACTGATTTGGGAAGTGTTATAGTAACTTAATCACCTTGTAAATGTTAAAACACATACAAATGTTTTATTTCAACATTTTCTAAATCAACAGCCTCCCTGGTCTTCCACAATTTAGCAGTTCCCCTCTATTCAAACATTTTCCAACCTGTCACTGCTTGGTTACTGGCTTGACTCAATATATTTTCAGCTTAAAATACATTTAAATATAACAAAGATTGATGGATATAGAATAAAAATATTGCTCTGTCATACAGGGTTGAAAACAAGATATCTTAAAGGTAATTTAAAGTGGCATCCATGTTTCTGCTTTGTTCTAGTCACTTGTGTTGCAATTCTTTGGTTTGCATAAATAATTCTGTATCAACGGGATGCCACCACTGAAATTGTGTTGCAATTCTTTGGTTTGCATAAATAATTTTATATCAACGGGATGCCACCACTGAAAGCCTATTGCTTTAGAAATATTCACCTGTAAATTTGTAGGGATGTGTGTGTGTGTGGATGGATAGATAGATAGATAGATAGATAGATAGATAGATAGATAGATAGATAGATAGATAGATAGATAGATAGATAGATAGAATGCTTTTAAAATCATAAGACTAAAATATTTAAAATGTTATACAAAGTTAATTTGTTTAACAGCAACTTAAGTCATGAAGATGTGCCAGCACCATGGCTAAGTAATTACAGTAACCCTTGTTCACCCCATCTGCCTTTAGCATCTGTAACACCCACGCATTGCATCTCAACACAAATTAGACTAAGCTCTTGGGGCAGGGATTATATTTTTTTAAATGTACTGTTAAACACCTAGCACATATTTGGGCACTACATAAATAAATTTAACGAATGCAAATGTCATTAAATCATCCTTTGTAGGTTCCAACTTTTCCAGATACTACTTTATGGTTTTGCTCACAAAAACCCTAGGGGAAGGGAATAGTCAGTCAACATACAGTATGTTATTTCATGACTTCCACTCTAGCCAATGAGAGTCATATGGCCAAAATGCTATTGACCAAATACACTATTTAAACCTTTATGACTATGCTGTCATTACATATAAAAAAATATGTGAAATCATGCCCCCAATGCTGGTAATATAAGTTTTGTTATTAATTTCAGTATGGTCAAGATTTCGCCCTAAATGTGTTATCTATAAGAAACATTCAATTTTATATTTTATTTTACTTTATTTATTCAGTTAACACTGGGGATTGGGATCTCCCATTTAGTCACAAATAGGTACAGGATGGACAGCTATTTGTCTGTTTTCTATATTTTACCTGACAGTGCGCCTTAGCCCTGCCTGACCTGTAGAGAACAGCTCCAGTAGTGTAAAAGGCTATGTGAAATGAACCACGGAGTCCTCAAATAACTCCCTGCTTTATTAACGACGATCATATTTGATCTAAATATTCCTGAACTTCATTTCAGGCTTGAACCTCATGAAAAATTATTTTTTCAACAAGCTGATCTATTGGTTTTGATATGCTAAATTGTTCCTACCTTTATATGAATGCAAATTTTATGCATACAGTAGAGATCATTTAGGGAGTAATCCTGCACCACTGAAGTCCATTAGAGTTAGACACTTTAATGGGAGAAGGATCAGGGCCTGATGGAGGACTTGGAAATAAAGGAACTCTGGTTATAGCAGAATGAAAACCATTTTGGCCAAAAACTTTTGAAAATGATCTGTAAATTAGGGTGCCTCTATTTTGGGGATTCCAACTTGAGACGCTTTGGGATTGGTTTTGCTGACAACTCACTTCAGTGGAAGATATGGGCATTGTGCATTTCTGATGATCAGAGCCAATACGTCTCAAATTGGGCTCCCAAAACCTGGAGGCACCCAGAAGGCTGAGGCCATTTGTAAAAGCTGGCCTTGGGTATTTTATTGCTTTGCATATCTGGTTGCAGTAAATCTCTGTGTAAGGGGCCCCTTCAAACCCCTTTATTCTGTTGCAGTTTTGCACAGCTCTACAAGACTGGACAACATAGTATATCCTGCATCCAAACAGGCCAGTACAGAAGGGAGCACTGAAGAAAGGCTGAATTAAATTCTGTAACTATAAAACATTCCTTATCTGAGATTCAGCTGCTATTGCAACTCATGGACAGGACTTCTGCAAAAAAAAAAAAAAAAGGGCTGTGCTGCCCAATATCCCCCTGTAAGATTCAATTTCTCTGGTATTAGGCAGGCTCAGAATTTCAGTGGTTGTGAAAATACTAAATAAAATAATAATAATAATATCAGAAAAGAATATTAAGTGTTTCTGTTCAAATCACAAGGCATTTTGATTGCAAATAGGGGACAAATCAGCACACAGTTCTGTTAAATTCACAGACCGATTAATTTGCCAAATTTGGAGCAGTTTTCTGCCTATTATTATTATCAAAGCATAATGCCCATGGGGCTTTGTATAAATGACTGAAATTACTTTGTAAGGGGGAAAATGTACAAGTGCTAAACTAGCCGCTAGCAGGATTTTTGGATGTTGTCTGTTGATTAGCCGAGGGGAGATCAATAAGAGAACAAAAAGCTTATCAAAATGTTGATCATCAAGCCCTGGGCAAGATAATGCCATAAAAATAGATTTGGTTGTGCAAGTTAGAGCCTTTTTGTAATTCTGTGGGGATCACAGGTGCCACACGTAGCTACAGCCCAGCATCAATGAATATCTCCCTCCATGTCTTGGGAATAAAGATTGCTTGAGCTCCACTTGGAAGTAAAAGGTTCCCAATTTCTGGTACAAGAAGTACCCTGTCACCCCATTCAAAGCAGAATATGTTAGTGTTTTTCTTATATCCTTTTCAATGTTTGCAATGAAGACTCCCTGTATTTCATCAGCACTCTCTCTCATGGAAACTAAATCATGCACTTAAAAATAGACCTAACAGATTATCTGGGTAAATCATAAAGCTCAGCTTATCTCTATCTTCCCCTTCAAAACATACAATTTATTTTGTTCACCAGCATCAAGCCAAGAGTAATCCTACAGTCCCAGCAACCTTGCTTGTTTGGCTATCTATTATAATATGCCCATGTATGTGTGTGAGAGGTTCTAAGTGAGGGTATCTGAATGCATGCCTTTATGCAGGTGACTGTGTTTGTTACTGTATGTGGGGGTGTATGTCTAAGTGTCACGACTAATGTGACCAAGGAGAATAGCATCAAAAATCAAAAGCAGTAAAGCAGCAAATACTCTAAACAAGAAATAAACTCCCACTAAATAGTAATCTAAAATCCCTAGGACCCATTTTTGTTCCTCTGAAGAGCAAACATAACTGATCCAGTACTACAAAAAATACATCAATCTTGGTTCAGAAACATAACAAAACCTAACACCACAATCCTGGACTCCTACACGCACTGTTTCAAACATGCACATCTTCCTGCTCTCCTCCTCCCACATCCCCTGTGCGGCCCATCAGGCCATGGGAGCCGGAGAAAGCCCTGCAGGGCTATAAATAGCCTCTCCCGGGGCGGCTCCGAGGAGGAAGGAGAGTGCAGCCGCACGTTCCCAAAGATGCTGCAGAGGGAGGCATGACTGGATTAATTCTTGAGGGGTGACAGATGGTTAGGGGAGTTCAATGACACACTAAGTTACCTGCGTGGGGAGGAGGAAGTGGCTGGAATTGGGAATCTAAGGCACCTTGGGTGGAGAAGGGGGTGGGATTTCCACTTCTCCCAAGGAGTTTCTCCAGCTCCTCTGAGCTCTGCTGTCTGAGTCAAGGGTTGGAGCGGTTATCCTGGGGGCAGAGCCTGTGGGGAGGGGGGGGGGAGGAGA